GGGGGGAATATGGAGGGAATGTTGGGGGGAGCAAGGTAGAGGGGTGGGAGGGACATAAGGCTCACATTAGTGAGTATGAGAGAGAGGAAGGTAGGGGGAGGGAAGGAGAGGGGGAGGCAGGGAGATTAGAACAGATGGTAGCTTATTAGTGACATCAATGATAAGCCATTTGAAAGTTGAATCACACAGCAAAGGTGAAGAGTTCACCTATGGTGTACGTTCCTATCAGGAAGAGAGTTTTTGGATTGAATGCCTCTGCCTCAATCGCCTCAGCAATAAAATTGATGACAGAATCTTGCTTAGGAAATTCATACTGCAGGATCACCACCAACACACACACGCATACACACACATACACACACATACACACACATACACGCACATACATACACACACGCGCACACACACACACACACACACACACACACACACACACACACACACACACACACACACACACAACTGATGAGGAAATGCACGTGGACAGATGTGAGGGTCCCACTCCTGTTCCAGGAAGCTGAGACGCCAGTGTGAATTCGAAGATAAGGCCCAGATGCCCATCCATGAGCTTGTTGACATCATAGCCTACATTCTACACTCATGTATAGTCAAAGTTCAACCACTAGGATCCCATCGGGTAACCTTTCACCGACGAGGAAGGTCTATTCAACTTGTGACCACATCTGTCTGCAAAAAGCACCGTACTCTCCTCACTGTAAAGGCTCCACTGTGAGCATAACCAGAACGTAACAACAAATCGATAACTCTATGAAATTGAACGAAGGCAATAAGATCATCATAGGCATGCTTGCACGGACAGAATCTGGCTGTATTTGTGACCAGATACATCACAGAAAATCATCCTGTTAATATGCCCTAATATAACTGTCATTGACTGGAAAAATCAGTTTTCTTCTTTTCATGCACATGACAACATTCACCATGGTAAAGCAGCACTCGCATGCATCTTCTGCAATCCCTCCTCGACAGAGGAATAAGGAGCATTCCTTAGGCTTCTTTTTTTTTTTGGAATAAAGGTCATTCTGCATTCCCCAGACCTGTCTTCTTGTAAAATACTAGAAGTACATGTAGGAGTTAATAAAATTAAATCCGGTAAGCGGTTAACAGGGACCCCCACTTTTCAGCCCTGGTTAACCCCCTCAAAAGTGCATTGGAGATCATTATTTTATTATTATTTTCTGTTTTTTTTCTTTTCCCCTGTTTTATTTTTGGTCAATAAAGTTTATTTTCATTTTTTTTTTGGTAAGTAGTTAGTATGATCTCCACTCTATGAATTGGTGGCAAGTTTGGTTACAATGACCCGTGGGTTTTGTTATAAATGGTCTGACAAGTGGTCTGAAAATTGAGGCCTCCGTTAATCGTCTCTCTTATTTTCGTTTTGGACATGGTAACCGCGGACCCGGACACCGGACACTCCCGGACTGTCTTCCGGACCAGTGTCTGGACAGGTCAGGACTGTCCGATGATCCGCACATCACCGGACCCGCACAGTCCAGCCAGGTGTCAGGGAGTACAAAATGTCCGGACCAAAAAAAAAAAAAAAAACGGGAGGGGGGGGAGGGGGTCGCTGTTGGCATGCACTTACCTGCTTTGCGCTTTGTAGTTCAGGCAGCAGAGCACCTGTCTTGCAGCAAATCAACAAGCACATTCAAGTAGCAGACATGCAGAGTTGCAAACAGTGCGAAGCAGGCACAATACTAAAGAAACAGAGATTTTGTTTTTGAAAAAAGTATGATTAACTTTGGAGTTTGAACTTTGAACTTTGAATTAAGTAAAATTGAAGTTCATAATAACTTCATATAACTTAAAAGTTTGAACTTTGCAGTTCAATGCAGAACGTCAGAGTCTTCAGACTGGCAGCACTGTCCGTGCTCTCTCTCTCTCTCTCTCTCTCTCTCTCTCTCTCTCTCTCTCTCTCTCTCTCTCTCTCTC